ATTCAATCTAATCGAACTCGATTAAGTTAGTGTCCATGTCCTCGACATGCCGGCCCGCCTGCACCGGTGCGAGGTGAAGCAGCTCTTGCAGCTTTTCCAATGTCAGCACAGCCCGGTTGAAAAGGTTGCGGATGCGTTGTTGAACGGGGTGGCTGTCGTCATACGCCTGCTTCCTGGATTTCTTTACCACGCGGCTGGGGAGTGTGGTTCGTCCACTGCGGCCTGACTTATGCCCATCCTCGCGGCGATTGCGTTCAGGGACCAGCGGCGTAGAGCGGTGCAACAGCGTATGGTGCGCCTTCCCACATTGATGGCAGCGGTCTGCTGAGTTGCACGCACCTGTGATGTGCGATGTTGCCAAACAGTTGATGCAGTATTTGTGCACTCGCGCGGACTCGTACCGCTCCTCGGGCGTCATGGCCTTAAACGCATGGCAAAACCTCAGTGAGTGATAGCGGCAGCACAGACGGCATTGATTTAGCTCCATCGTGTATCTGTTCATCTACGAAGAAAAAGTGCAAAATTTAATTAGTCACATGTCAGTGTACAGTGAACAGGGGTTATAGAGTTAGCTGGAGTGTGATAGTTTTAAGAGGCAATTAAAAACGAGGGAGGAATATACTACGAAGGGGGCAGTACGCATAGTTTTGTGACGTTGCGAGTGACTATGCCGGCTTGTGTGCGAACATCCACTACTCGTACATTTTGGTCAGCACCCGAATGGAGTTTGGTGACTCGGCCAAGGCGCCACTCATTTGGGGGCAAGAGATCGTCTTTGATGACCACCAAATCTCCTTCGCTAATATTGAGCTGCGGGTGTTTCCATTTGTATCTCTTGTGCAGTTCTTGCAAGTACTCGGTTTTCCAACGTGAGCTGAACTGCTGATGGAGAACTTTCAATTTTTGCCATTTTGTAGTGAGAGATACATTTTCGCCATTCGGTTCGGGTAGGGAAACCAAGGGGGCGCCGCGCAGAAAATGACCCGGCGTTAAGGCTAGTAAGTCGCTTGGGTCTTGTGACATGGGGGAGAGAGGGCGCGAGTTAAGTACTGCCTCGATCCGAATGAGGAGAGTGGTGAATTCCTCAAAAGTGAATTTGTGGTTTCCAGCGACTTTGGTGAAGTGGGTTTTAAAACTTTTTACGGCGGCTTCCCACAGACCGCCCATGTGAGGGGCATATGGCGGAATGAATTGCCAAGAGAGTCCCTGTACCGCATATCGCTCTGCAACATCAGAAGCTGCCTCCTTGAGGAATAGGACGAAATCGCGCTGGATAGCCCGCTGTGCTCCGATAAACGTCTTCCCATTGTCCGACATAATTTTGTTTGGCAGTCCGCGGCGACCGACGAATCGAGTGAATGCAGCTCTGAACGCTTCGGTGGTCAAATCTGTGCAGGACTCTAAATGGACAGCCTTGGTGGAGAAGCATACGAATACGCAAACATAAGCTTTTGTGTGGGACGCTCGTCGAAGGGGGGATGTCTTTACCATAAATGGCCCAGCGAAGTCGACACCAGTTGTGTGAAATGGCACAGAGTAAGTTGCACGCTCAGGGGGCAGTGCTGCCATTATTTGTGATCGCATTCGCTGTTTATAAATGGTGCAAGTCTTGCACTGAAAGATGCACCTTTTCAGTTTTTGTTTGAGTCTGGGAATATAATACTCTTGCTGCACCATGCGAACCATTAACTGTTTTTCAGCGTGAAGCAAGGTTTTATGCAGAAAATCTAGCAGCAAGGAGCAGAACTTGGAGCTATCTGGGATGATTATGGGGTGTCGTTCATTGTAGCTTAGCGCGGCCTGAGCTAGACGACCATTTACTCGCATGATCCCCGCTTTGTCCAGCATAGGGTTTAGGGTGAGTAGTGAACTTTTTGTCAATTGGTTTTGAAGCCTCCAACGCCTGAATTTCTTCTACAAAATGGTTGCGCTGAGTGATTGCGATCAATTTCATTTTTGCATGATTTATCTCTTCCTGTGTAAGAGCTAACGTGGTGGGAATTGGGTATTTTTGCGAGTTGCGGATAAAACGATACAAAAGGGCAATAACTCTTAAGGCTCGTGAAAATGAGGAGAATCGATCAAGGATATATGTACATTCTAAGGTGTGGAGGGATTCTATCGGTCTCTTTTCAGGAGGGGCTAGATTGGAAGGTGCGCCTTTGGGCCAGGAAGTAGCTGGTTTGGAGAGCCACTCTGGCCCATTCCACCATAAGCAACATTCAGCTAGATCTTGAGGTTTGCACCCACGGGTGCCTAAGTCTGCTGGGTTGGCACCACTTGGTACGTGGCGCCATGGGGTGTTGCTGACGTTGTGGATAATTTGAGTGATTCGGTTGGCCACATATGTTTTCCATGTATGTGGTGGTTTTTCAAGCCAAGCTAACACAATCGCGGAGTCTGACCAGAGTGTCAATTCGTGCGGTGGCAGATTCAGTTGGGATCGGATATGGTAGATAAGTTTTGATAACAACACGGCGCCGCAGAGTTCTAAACGTGGCAGGCTTACCGTTTGCAAGGGTGCAACTTTAGTTTTTGCCACAAAAAGATGGGTTGTGAAGGAGTTCTCTTCGTGTTGCACTCTAATATAAACACAAGCACAGAACGCTTTTTCGGAGGCGTCAGCGAAACCGTGCAGCTGTATGCGTTTATCTGGGGAGAATTGTACCCATCGGGGTATGTTGATGGAGCTTATGGCTTGAAGGTCCTCGCGAAAAGTGTTCCACTTATGGAAAGCTGTGGGCTTAACGTGTTCGTCCCAGTCAGTTCCTTCTAACCATAGTTGTTGGAGGAGAATTTTAGCAAGTATCATTATTGGCGATAGCCATCCTGCCGGGTCGAAAAGTTTCGCCACCGCTGACAGTATCTGACGTTTTGTGCTCGACTTAGAGGCGGGTAGGGGGTCATAAGAGTAGGAGAAGGAGTCAGTTAGTGCGTTCCATCTTATTCCAAGTGTTTTTGTAGAGCTTGTGTCCTGGAATTTAAGAAACTCAGCATCTAAGACATCGGTATCTGGGATTAATTCAAGGATTTTAGGGTGATTTGCTGTAATTTTTTTCAGTGGAAAGCCTGCTGATTTTAGAGTTTCGATAGTTTGGGTCATAGAGTTGAGAGTGGACTGTATATTGTGTCCGCCAGAGAGTACATCATCTACATATGTTTCGTGCAGTATGATGTTCTTGGCGAGGGGGTATTTCTCTTGACAATCGTGAGCTAATTGGTGGAGCGTGCGAATTGCCAGATATGGGGCGCAGTTAACCCCGAAAGTGACGGTTTTTAACCTAAAATCTTCGATTGGCAGGTGAGGGGCTTTCCTAAAGAGAATCCTTTGGAAATTTTGATCTTCTTCATGAACCAGTATTTGGCGATACATTTTCTCTATGTCGCCATTGAAAACGAATTTATAAAGACGCCATTTGAGGATAATGGACGTCAAGTCGTTTTGGAGTATTGGGCCTGTATAAAGAACATCATTCAGGGAGTTTCCTGAATGTGATGTCTTAGATGCGTTAAAGACGACACGCACTTTTGTCGTTTTGCTGTCGGGCTTTAAGACAGCATGATGGGGTAAATAAAATGAAAAATATTTTCCGTTTTTTATTACTTCAAGGGGTGAAGCCTGCTCCATGTGATTCATTTTTAAGTACTCATTCAGCACCTCTGAGTACTTGTCGCGCAATTCCGGCCTTTTCTCCAGAGTCCTTTCGATGCTTATGTATTGTTGCTGTGCTGCTGGGCGGGAGTTACCTAAGGCAAGCGCGTCCGGGAATTCTGGTTTGAAGGGAAGTTTTACCACGTATCGTCCATCCTCTCGTCTGGTGGTCGTGGTCTTGTAAAGTTCCTCGCAGAAATCGTCTTCTGCTGATTTGGGTTGAGCGGTTTCTATCTCCTCCTGTTCCCAAAACCTTTTGAGCAGCGTGCTGAGTTCGGGTTCTGTTGCCTCTGTGACTCGGGTGGAGAACGTCGAGATATGTTCTCTGACTGGACCGCTGAGTATCCATCCGAATATTGTGTTTTGGGCTAATAAGGTGCCATGGATGTTGTGTTGTAGCCCTTCCAGGAGTATTTGGGGACTTATGTCGCTGCCTATCACCATATCGATTTTCGCTGGTGTAAAACAGTTAGGGTCAGCAAGCTGGAGGGAGCGTAATTCGTCTATATTAACATTTGAGGCTTTGAATGTGGGCAGAAAGTGGGTGAGCTGAGGGAGGATGATTGCGTTTGCGGTGATTTTCTGGCCCAAATCAGATGAACATAGCGTTATTTCGCAAATTTTGTTCGAATTTTGTACTACCATTCCTCCCATTCCAGAGATTTGGTAGTGAGTTTCTCTAGTGGGTAGGCCAAGGAGTTTTTGAATTCGTGACGCCACAAAGGTCTTCTGTGACCCTTGATCTACTAGAGCACGAATTTTATGATATTCTCCTGCGAAGTATATTGGGACTATTGCTGTGGGGAGTAGGGTTGTTGCGCTGCTACTTGAAAAATGGGAAGAAACCTTTTGAGCATTACTGTCAGATTGGCTTTTTATAAGTGCCCTTTTAGCAGCCTGCTCGGATGTCGAAGGCTGTTCTTGGTCTATTCTATTTTGGGTCGATGTTTGCGCTACGGTTCTTTGAGGTCTTGGGTTGGCCCTAGACGATTGGGATGGTGGCTGGAAATGGAGGAGAGAGTGATGTCTTTTTTGGCAGTATACGCGTAGGAACTTGCTCTGACAATCACTTTTGAGGTGGGAGTACGAGAGGCAATTCTCACAATATTTATTGTCTCTCACGAACTTGAGGCGCTCGGTTACAGAAAGCGCTTTGAACTTCACGCATGTTTTCATGAGGTGGTTAGAATTACATAACTTGCATGATACTTGCTGATTTAGTTCAGTGTGGAAATTATGGGTCCTATTTTTATTGAAGAAAGTTGAGTTCTGATTTATTGCTTTGGGAGTGAAACTCGGCAGAGGTGTTCTGGCTTTGCCAGGGCGGTAAGTGCTGAGTCTCTCTACAACTTCATACCGGGTTGTTAAGAACTCATTCATATCAGCCCACAACGGCAGTTCCTTTCGAGAACTCAGCGACTGTTCCCACAAAGAAAGGGTTTCACTGGGCAGTTTTGACGAGCAAATATACACAAGGATGGGGTCCCAGTCAGAGGTTGGGATTCCTTGTGCTGCCAAAGTGGATAAACAGTTGTTTATCGTGGTTTGGAGTTTCTGAATCTGCTCACCGTTCTCTGAATAAATCGATTGGAGATTGAAAAGTGTTTTTAATTGGTTATCGACCAATATTCTGCGGTTTTCATACCGCGCTTTCAGTGCATCCCAGGCTAATTGAAAGCTTTCGTCAGTCAGCGGGTATTGTTTAACTAATTGCCCTGCCTGGCCTCTAGTTTTTTGGCGCAAATGGTAGAGTTTCTGGGCTGGTGTTAGCTTGGGGTGATTTCCATAGACTGCCGTGAACATATCCCTAAA